GAGTGTGGTTTTGTTTTGCTAAACTGGCATGCGTAGCCTGAATCCCTCCCAGGAGGCTTGGTGTGTGCGTAAGGTGTGTAGCTGTTCCTTCCCCTGCCTTTACCTCTTCCTCAGACTGGGGAGCCTGATCACTGTCATCATCTTCAGAGGCGACTTCTGGAAACTGCAGTGAAAATCAGTGGTGTTCCCCTACAGCTCTGTTTTGGGGAAGGGGGAACAGATGTTCTGTTGTTGTTTTTGCTTAATGATTAAAGAGGAGCAGATAGAGACATCTTAACAAAGTCTACATTAATTCACACTAGTTCAAGCAGCCTAAAAGCAATTATATCTTTTGAAGTATCATTTGTAAGGTGATTCTCTGTTCATCTGCACCAGCAACAGAGAGTGGAAATCAGTTCAGTCACTCTACCAAATATTGATAACTGGTTACATTGGCCTTTAGATGGCATATGTGACCTGGGAGATAGGAACTGGGTATCTGGCAGTCATCACTGAGAAAGTTTGTAGAACTAAATGAAATAATCGGGTTTGTTATTTTGTATTGTTGTATCTAAGGCACGCTCTGACTAGGTCTTTTTGCATAACTCCTGTTGAAACTGATGGAAGCCATATGCACAGGAGAGAAAAATGGACTCATAAAGAAATTTTCCTCATCTTAACACTGTCTTATTAGTGTTCTCTTTCATCTCTAGGCACCTTAACAATGAACATGCATTGGATGACAGAAGCACTGCTCAGTGTCGGGTGCAAATGCAAGTGGTTCAGCCGTTAGAAATACCGGGTTGTTACATGGTCAGCAGTTAGAAATACAGGTTTGTTACATGGATGTATTATCCTATTACTTATTTACTATTAACCTAAACTAAATTGAAAACACTTGCCTTAGTGACTCTAGCTTAAAGCCGTATGTTTCTTGCATGAAATTTGTTGATATTCATGAACAAGTGGGGTTTTTTTACTTAAAGATTTTTCACATTATAAATTATGCAATAATTATCTAACATCAGCATTATCTACAGTATTTTGCTTGAACTAAGGCCCTAATGCCATTCATCACGAATGAAAAATGCAGTCCCTGGAGCAGAGACTGGATCCAAGCCATCTTCAGTTCTTGAAATGCTGGGTCAGGACCCCTCTTCCTTCTTCCCCTTCTGACCCGACGCTTGTCTATGCCATTCTGCAGGACAGAGGAGTAGCAGAGTGTGTCTCCACCCGAAATGACTCCCAGCCTGATGGTGGGCATTCTTCTGCGAGCAGAAGGTGTAATGTCAGACCCACTCAGAGAGGTCCCCAGGGAATCCCACGGCTGGGACCGCAGCACTCGGGTGCCCTGTTCAGGCTCTAACCATTAGAGGTCACTGCATGTATGTGAATGCTCCCTCCAGCTTACGGAAGAAGTGCCCAGTACCCCTGGGGTCTCCCAGTATTGAGACTACACTTCCCAGGCTACCGAGGCTGGGCGCAAACCTTGGCAGCCCAGAATGACCATGCGGGATGCTTATACCATGCAGTCCCCTCCCGCCCGTACGGGAGTCATAGGAGGGCATTTCTCAGGAGTCCTGTCCCGGCTTGGGAAGGTGCAGAGGAGCCCAAGGGCCGCAGCGAGGGACTGAGATTTTTTTCCCTGTTTGTTGCTATATGTGGAGAAAGAAGGATAAACACCTTTCAGCTTTCTCACCTTTTAGCATATTGTCTCACTGTTCTCATGCATGTAAGAATACTTATTCTTCTTTCAGCCAAGGCAAACCATTTGGGTCTTCTGTATTTTTACAGTGGAAACTCAAAGCAATGAAGGAATCTACAATATTGTCATTTATGGTCATTTCCCTTGAAGTGAAAGTTTTGTAAACCCGGGCAAAGCTGTAGTTTCTTTTATAAGATAAAAGATAGGATAGTGTTAGCTTAATTTGTTTGTTAGCAATTTACATCATGGCAAATAGCATGTCTCTAAAGTGTCACACACATAATATGAAGCCTAAGAAGAAACCTTTTTCCCACCCGCTGCCTCAAATGTTCTTTAATTAAAGATGCACTGATGAAATTATATCCAGCATACCCAAAATATCTGCAGGAATACAGGTAGTTTCCTCTTGTTTACATTACTTACAAGTTGTTTTGCTTAGTCCAGTCTCAGTCTACAGGTGTAACTCTTGAGCTGAATTCATGCAAGAAAGTATTGTAGAACTCTCCGGAAAATGGCAGTGTTGAACACCAAGTGATTCTTGTTGCAATTAATGTCGTAATTGTTTTGTAGATATCCAAAGCCATATCACTAGAATACAATTTTGAGCATTTCTTCTTGCAACCTAGCTTTTAAAAAAACATCATTCTTTTCACGTTGTAAGATACATTTTCCTCTTTTATGTTCTGATATTTTTATCAACAAGTTACGTATTTCAAACACTTCTTCCTCTTTTTTTTTTTTTTAATTTGGTAATTTGTTTGAGTCTGAAACTACAAATATTTACGTAGCGTATGATCAGAAAATGGTATCCGTTAGGAAAAAGTACAGGTTTCAGTAACGTGATGTTTTCTAAAGGCAGTTTAAGGGCTTCTTAAGAACTGTTTACCATTTACAAAGGCTAGGCTGTAATGTAACAGTCCAAGTGAAGATTTAGCTTGCAGTGTGACCAATTATGCCATTTTTTGCTTTGTCTGACTGCTAGTGAAGTAAGGTCCATCAGTTGTAATGAGACCCAGTGCAGTGTCGATGCCGACTCGGTGGCAGAGTTCAGCGTTTCACACTGCCTGGGCTCTGTCACTCTATTGAATTAGATTGATGATGGCAGATTGCAGGGGGCACTAACTGGACCTCAGTGGGAAAGGATGAAGTGTGTAGACAATCCTGGCAGGCACTGTGCTTTGAGGACCCTTCACCCCTTCACAGCTGTTGGCACTAGTCCATTGCTAACAGTGTCCACAGGACTTTAAAGAGACACTATGGGCCTTGTAATTTATGGTCTTAGTAACTTGTTACTGTCGAGGCAACTGTGACCTCAATTCTCTTATTGACAAAAAGATGAAGTGTTATTTGTTTTCTCTGACCTTTTAACATATGAAAGGCTATAAAAGTTTTTTGGTTTTTTTTTTTCCTTTCTTTCCATGCCCAAAGTTGCATTTCCTCTCAGATAAGTTTCTACTGACATAGACTTTTATATGCAGGAATCATTACTCTGAGACAAGCTCAATGATAAGATGTATCACTGCAGTAAAATAGCTGTATCAGTCATTTCTAAAATGCTTCTGATCTCACTCTTTCTTAACAGCTTTCTAAAGAACGTGAACGTCTTCAAGCAATGATGACCCACTTGCACATGCGACCCTCGGAGCCCAAGCCATCTCCAAAACCTGTAAGTGCATATTGCTTTATAAACAGTAAATAGGCCTACGAATGTAGCAGACTAAGAAAATGAACAATTTAGTGACAGTTGGAAAACAATGAGTGTGATGAAAAATATGGCAATAAAATGAAGGTAAAATGCAATAGCTTGTCAAATTGTATGTTTCTTTAAAAGTAATGCTATCTTTTACAAAATCCATCCAATCTACACCATAGGTGACACTAAACAAAGTACACCTGTAAGTGTCCAAATCATTGGCTTGAGGCTGAAACTAGAGAGAATGTCTTTTTGTGATAGATTTACAGATATTAAAAGGAAACCACTTTGGAAGATTTCAAGTTCAGTGGACTCTGTGGCAGTAAAAAGTAAATGTAAAAAGAATCTAGGTACTTAGGAAATTTCTTAAATTCCTTACAAGAGACACAAATAAACATTTTGTTATTCTTAAACGAACGAAAATGCTATTTTGTGCAGCAAATTTAAACAATTGTAAACGTGTTTTTTTTCCTCAATTTCTGTCAAGACTGCAATGTTATGCATCCACTGTGATGTTGTTGGGGTTGGTACGTGCACTGAAAAGTCACTGTTGCTCCCAGCCGGTCCACAGCGCTGCATCAGGCCCCAGTTGTGCAGCTGGATCCACAGTCAGATCCAGGCTCCATTAAACTGAACGTAGCTTCACGTAAGCAGAAGTGTTCTCTGATGCAGGTCCAGTTTTGTACTGTCAGGGTATCAGGCATCGTAGTACTTACA